CAGTTGGGTGCTCTTGGGTTGGGTGTTATGGGATGGGTGCTATGGACTGGTGGGGTCCCACTGAGTTGTTCCTCTTTGGGTTGATCTCACTTCGGTCCATTGGGGACGCTCCCATTGGTGATGCTCCCATTGGAGATGCTCCCATTGGAAATGCTCCCATTGGAAATGCTCCCATTGGTGATGCTCCCAGTTGGGTGCCCCATTGGAGATGCTCTCATTGGTGATGCCCCCATTGGAAATGCTCCAATTGCTGATGCTCCCATTGGAGATGTCCCATTGGAGATGCTCCCAGTTCAGTGCCCCACTGGAGATGCTCCCATTGGAGACATTCCCAGTTGGGTGCCCCATTGGAGATACTCCCATTGGAGATGCTCCCAGTTGGGTGCCCCGTTGGAGATGCTCCCATTGGTGATGCTCCCAGTGGTGATGCTCTCATTGGTGATGCCCCCATTGGAGATGCTCCCATTGGAGATGCTCCCAGTTCAGTGCCCCACTGGAGACGCTCCCATTGGAGAGGTTCCCAGTTGGGTGCCCCATTGGATATACTCCCATTGGAGACTCTCCCACTGGGGACGCTCCCATTGGAGATGCTCCCAGTTGGGTGCCCCATTGGTGACGCTCCCATTGGAGACGCTCCCGGTTGGGAGCCCCATGGAAGCTCCTCCCCCTGTCCCCACAGGGGCACCCCGATCCCGCGGGAGCCGCCCCCCATCGCCACGCTGCTGCTGTGGGGCGGCCACGACGCGCTCCTGGACCCACGGCTGGTGCCGTCCCTGCGCCGGTGCCTGCGGCCCAGTGCCCGCCTCTGCCTCCTGCCCGATGCCAGCCATTGGCTGCCCGAGGACCAACCCCGCGCCCTCGCCCGCCTCATCCAGGACTTCCTGGATGGGGGCAGCCTGCACCCATAGGGGCACCCATGGGTGCTCCCCATAGGTACCCATGGGTGCTCCCCATAGTGGTACCCATGGGTGCTCCCCATAGCGGTACCCATGGATGCTCCCCATAGCGGTACCCATGGATGCTCCCCATAGAGGTACCCATGGATGCTCCCCATAGCGGTACCCATGGCTGCTCCCCATAGCGGTACCCATGGATGCTCCCCATAGTGGTACCTATGGATGCTCCCCATAGCGGTACCCATGGATGCTCCCCATAGAGGTACCCATGGGTGCTCCCCATAGCGGTACCCATGGATGCTCCCCATAGAGGTACCTATGGATGCTCCCCATAGAGGTACCTATGGATGCTCCCCATAGAGGTACCTATGGATGCTCCCCATAGTGGTATCCATGGATGCTCCCCATAGCAGTACCCATGGGTGCTCCCCAAAGCGGTACCCATGGATGCTCCCCATAGTGGTACCCATGGGTGCTCCCCATAGCGGTACCTATGGATGCTCCCCATAGTAGCACCCAGGGGTGCACCCATAGTGGTACAAAAGGGGGTTTCCCCACAGCAACATCTGGGGGGGGGGGGGGGGGGGGGGGAAGAGGAGAAGGGTTGGGGGGAGACAATGGTGGAGTGGCAGGACCTCAACATCTGGATGGGGACCTCAGCATCTGGATGGGGACATCAGCATCTGGATGGGTACCCCAACATCTGGGTGGGGAGCGCAACATCTGCATGGGGACCTCAACATCTGGATGGGGACCCCACCATCTGGATGGAGACCGCAACATCTGGATGGGGACCCAACATCTGGGTGGGGAGCACAACATCTGCATGGGGACCTCAGCATCTGGATGGGGACCCCAGCATCTGGATGGGGACCTCAGCATCTGGATGGGGACCGCAGCATCTGGGTGGGGAGCGCAACATCTGCATGGGGACCTCAACATCTGCATGGGGACCTCAGCATCTGGATGGGGACCCCAATATCTGGATGGGGATCCTAACAGCTGGATGGGGACCCCAGCATCTGGATGGGGCCCCTTGCTCCCAAGTGCCTTCAATAAAGCCGGGTGTCGCCGCATTAGGCCGTGGGTGCCACCCATGGGTGCTGGTGCCGAGTCCTGGGTCACTGCCAGCACCCTTGGGTGCCAGAACCAGCCCCGGGGGGGTGGGGGATGGGCGAGGGGGGGGGAATGGGTGCCGGGGGGGGGGGTGCTGGTGTTGGGGCCCCTCCCCCCTTTAATCCTCTTCGGACCTCGCGGCGGCTCCAACCGGTGCCGGGGATTAACGGGGGAGGGGGAAGAGGGGGGCCCAGGGCTGCCCCTCCCCCCCCCCCAACCGGGCCCGTCCCCCCCCAGCTCCCAGCTGAACCGGTTGAACCGGATGAACTGGGCGGGGGGAGGGGCCGGGGAGGGCCCAGCGAGAGCACCTGCGGCCCCGCCCCCACCTGGGGAGTCCCCAGAACCCCAAACCCATCCCCCCCACATCCCATATCCCATTTACCCCATACCCCATATCCCATACCCCATACCCCATATCCCATACCCCATACCCCATACCCCATATCCCATACCCCATATCCCATACCCCATATCCCATATCCCATACCCCATACCCCATATCCCATACCCCATACCCCATACCCCATACCCCATATCCCATATCCCATACCCCATACCCCATACCCCATACCCCATATCCCATACCCCATATCCCATACCCCATACCCCATACCCCATACCCCATATCCCATATCTCATACCCCATATCCCACGTCCCTCCTGTCCCCTTCACATCCCCCGTGCCCCCCCCCCGTGTCCCTTGTCCCGTTGCCATGGCCACTGGTGGAAAATAGGACACGGGGAGGGGCTGCGGGGGGGACATGGACACGGGGGGGCACCGGGGCATGGACACGGACACCCAGTGCTCCCAGTGCTCCCAGTGCTCCCATTAACCCCAGAGCCTCCATAAGGGACTGCTCCCTATTAGCCCCAGTGCTCCCAGTAACCCCAGAGCCTCCGTAAGGGACTGCTCCCTATTAGCCCCAGTGCTCCCAGTAACCCCAGAGCCTCCGTAAGGGACTGCTCCCCATTATCCCCAGTGTTCCCCATTAGCCCCAGTGCTCCCAGCGTTCCCAGTGCTCCCATTCCCCCCAATCCCCCCATTGCTCCCAGTTCCCCCCCAGACCGCTCTGCTGCCTGCAGCGTTCCCGTTACTACCAGTGTCCCTCATTGACTCCCATTGCCCCCATTAACCCATTGCCCCCCATTGCCCCCATGACCCCCATTACCCCCATTGTCCCCATTGCCCCCATTACCCCCATTGCCCCCATTACCCCCATAGACCCCCATTGCCCCCATTACTCCCATTGCCCCCCATTACCCCCATTGTCCCCATTACCCCCACATTACCCCCATTGCCCCCATTACTCCCAGTGTCCCCCGTTCCCACCCCCCCCCAGCCCCGCCCCACCGGGAGCAGCAGTGGGCGGGGCTCACCTGCGGTCACGTGCCCGGGCCCCCCCCCCTTCCCCTCTCCCCTCCCCTGCACCTGGCGCTCCGCTCTCGCTCCCACCCGGGGCCGCGCCCGCCTCCGAACCCCCCCGACCCCTTCCGAACCCTTCCGAACCCCTCCGAGCGCTCCCGAACCCCCCCCGAGCGCTCCCCAACTCGCTCCGAGCCCCCCCTCCTTCCCCGAGCCCCTCCGAGCCCCTCCGAGCCCCCCGAGCTCCACCCGAGGGGACCCGAACACCTCCGAACCCCCCCCCCCCGAGTGAAGCCGAACCGGACCCGACCGGACCGGGCCGGGCCCCGCGATGGTGGCGGCTCCTCCGGCCGCGGCCGCCGCCATGCGCCGGGAGCTGCTGGGGCCCGAGATCCGCCCGCTCGACCGGTACGACGGGGCCCGGGCCCGCACCGCAGCCAGCATCGCCTGGGCCATCGCCGCCAGCTACGGGGGTGCGGGTAAGGCCGGGAGTGGGCACCGGAGGGGGGCCGGGGGGATGCAGGTACCGGGGGTGGTGGTACCGGGATGCTGGTACAGGGGATGGTGGTACCGAGGGGATGCAGGTACCGGGGATGGTGGTACCGGGGATGGTGGTAGCGAGGGGATGCTGGTATAGGGGGAATGCTGGTACCAGGGATGCTGGTACCGGGGCGATGCTGGTACCGGGATGCTGGTACCGGGATGCTGGTACCGAGGGGATGCTGGTATAGGGGGGATGCTGGTACCACGGATGCTGGTACAGGGGATGGTGGTACCGAAGGGATGGTGGTACCGAGGGGATGCTGGTATAGGGGGGATGCATTTACTGGGATGCTGGTACCGGGGATGGTGGTACCGAGGGGATGATGGTATAGGGCGGATGCTGGTACCGGGGATGGTGATACCGAGATGCTGGTACCGAGGGGGTGCTGGTACAGGGGGGATGCTGGTACTGGGGATGCTGGTACCGAGGGGATGCTGATACCGAGGGGATGCTGGTACTGGGGATGCTGGTACTGAGGATGCACCTTGCACCGGGCAATGGAGGGTGAAGGGGGCCCGAGGGGCCCCGGTGAACCGGAGTTGTGGGCGGTGCAGGTGGTTGCTACCGGTTATGGGGTGTCCAGGTCTATGGGGGGGGAAGGGGTCTGGTACCGGTTATGGGGTGTCCGGTAACGGGAGGGGGGGTCCCAATTGGGGGTTTTCCCCCCCTCCCCCCCCAGTGCTTTTGTTGCAGCCTGGGGGGGGGGATGTGACGTCATGGGTGTGACACCGCCTCGTGACGTCACAGGGCGGGATTCCCCCCCCCCGTCGGCGCCGCCTCTTGCGGTGTTGGGGGGGGAACCCCCAAGCCCCCGCCAATGTCCCCATCCCCCCCCCCCTCCCGCTTTAGCTCCGCCCCCCCCGGTCAAAGTCCTCCCCCTCCCCCCTCCCTCAGCGCCCTTTGGCCGGGGGGGGGGGGGGGGGGAGGGGCGCTTTGAAGCAGCACCCGCGGGGTCATGGGGAGGGCATGGGGGGGGTTGGGGGTGACACCGACTTGTGGGGTGCAGGATGGGTGCTGGGGGTGCCATTAGTTGGGTGCTATGGGTGCAGGATGGGTGCTGTGGGTGCAGGATGGGTGCTGTGGGTGCAGGATGGGTGCTGGGGATACCATCAGTAGGGTGCTGTGGGTGCAGGATGGGTGCTGTGGGTGCAGGATGGGTGCTATGGGTGCAGGATGGGTGCTGGGGATACCATCAGTAGGGTGCTATGGGTGCAGGATGGGTCCTATGGGTGTAGGATGGGTGCTGGGGATACCATCAGTAGGGTGCTATGGGTACAGGATGGGTGCTGTGGGTGCAGGATGGGTGCTATGGGTACAGGATGGGTGCTGGGGATACCATCAGTAGGGTGCTGTGGGTGCAGGTGGGTGCTGTAGGTGCAGATAGGTGCTATGGGTGCAGATAGGTGCTGTGGGTGCAGGATGAGTGCTGTGGGTGCAGGATGGGTGCTGGGGATACCATCAGTAGGGTGCTGTGGGTGCCATGGGGTGGGTGCTGTAGGTGCAGGATGGATGCTGTAGATGCAGCTAGCTGCTGGGTTGGGTGCTTGCAGGACGGGTGCCATGGGTTGGGTGTGGGTGCTGAGTGGGTGCTGTGGGTTCAGGGTGTGCGCTGGGTGGGTGCCATTGGTTGGGTGTGGGTGCAGGGTGGGTGCTGTGGGTGCCATGGGGCTCTCCACGACCATTGGGGGTCTCTGTAGCCTTGGATCCATGGTCATTGATTCATGGTGGGGTCTCCATTGATGGGGTCTTGGCCATTGGGGTCTCCATTGACGGGGTCCTGGCCATTGGGGTCTCCATTGATGGGGTCTTGGCCATTGGGGTCTCCATTGATGGGGTCTTGGCCATTGGGGTCTCCATTGATGGGGTCTTGGCCATTGGGGTCTCCATTGATGGGGTCTTGGCCATTGGGGTCTCCATTGATGGGGTCTTGGCCATTGGGGTCTCCATTGATGGGGTCCTGGCCATTGGGGTCTCCATTGATGGGGTCTTGGGCCTCCACTGATGGGGTCTTGGGCCTCCACTGATGGGGTCTTGGCCATTGGGGTCTCCATTGACGGGGTCTTGGCCATTGGGGTCTCCGTTGATGGGGTCCTGGCCATTGGGGTCTCCATTGATGGGGTCCTGGCCATTGGGGTCTCCATTGATGGGGTCCTGGCCATTGGGGTGTCCATTGATGGGGTCTTGGCCATGGGTAGATCCCATGCCATTGAGTGGGTCCATGGTGGGTCCATGGATAGGTCCAAGCCAATGAGAGATCTGTGCTGTCCCAATGGCATCCCATAGGGGATGTTCCCGAGGCGCTGCAGTGGGATCCAGGGTATCCCCCTCTCCCTGTGCCCTGTATCCCATAGGGAATGTGCCTGAGGAGCTGTGGGAGCTGTTCCATGGTGTCCCCATGATGTCCCCATGGAGGCACTGGGATGTCCCTATGGTGTCCCTATGGTGTCCCTATGGTGTTCCTATGGTGTTCCTATGGTGTTCCTATGGTGTCCCTATGGTGTCCCTGTATCCCATAGGGAATGTGCCTGAGGCACTGTGGGAGCTGTTCCATGGTGGCCCCATGATGTCCCCATGGAGGCCCTGGGATGTCCCTATGGTGTCCCTATGGTGTCCCTATGGTGTTCCTATGGTGTCCCTATGGTGTCCCTATGGTGTCCCTATGGTGTCCCTATGGTGTTCCTATGGTGTCTCCATGGTGTCCCTATGGTGTCCCTGTATCCCATAGGGAATGTGCCTGAGGCACTGTGGGAGTTGTTCCACGGTGTCCCCTTGGTATCCCTATGGTATCCTTGGGGTATCCCCATGGTATCCCCCTGGTACCCCCATGGTATCCCCATGGTATCCCCTGGTACCTCCATGGTATCCTTATGGTACCCCCATGGTATCCCCCTGGTACCCCCATGGTATCCCCCTGGTACCCCCATGGTATCCCCCTGGTAACCCCATGGTATCCCCATGGTAACCCCATGGTATCCACATGGTATTCCCATGGTACCCCTATGGTATCCCTATGGTGTCTCTATGATATCCCCATGCATCTTTATGGTATCGCCATAGTACCCCTATGGTATCCCCGTGTATCTCTATGGCATCCCCATGATAACCCCATGGTGTCTCTATGATGTCTCTATGGTATCTCTATGGTGTCTCTGTTGTACCCCTATGATACCCCTATGGTGTCTCTATGGCACCCCTGTGATACCGCCATGGTACCCCTATGGTGTCTCTATGGTATCCCCATGGTATCTCTATGGTGTCTCTATGGTATCTCTATGATATCTCTATGGTATCTCTATGGTATCTCTATGGTGTCTCTATGGTATCTCTATGGTGTCTCTATGGTATCTCTATGGTATCCCCATGGTGTCTCTATGGTGTCTCTATGGTATCTCTATGGTGTCTCTATGGTGTCTCTATGGTATCTCTATGGTATCTCTATGGTGTCTCTATGGTATCTCTATGGTGTCTCTATGGTATCTCTATGGTGTCTCTATGGTATCTCTATGGTGTCTCTATGGTATCTCTATGGTATCTCTATGGTCTCTCTATGGTGTCTCTATGGTATCTCTATGGTGTCTCTATGGTGTCTCTATGGTGTCTCTATGGTATCTCTATGGTCCTGTCTCTATGGTGTCATGGTTCTCTATGGTTCTCTCTATGGTGTCTCTATGGTATCTCTATGGTGTCTCTATGGTCTCTATGGTGTCTCTATGGTATCTCTATGGTGTCTCTATGGTATCTCTATGGTGTCTCTATGGTTCTCTATGGTGTCTCTATGGTATCTCTATGGTATCTCTATGGTCTCTCTATGGTGTCTCTATGGTATCTCTATGGTGTCTCTATGGTCTCTCTATGGTGTCTCTATGGTATCTCTATGGTATCTCTATGGTCTCTATGGTGTCTCTATGGTGTCTCTATGGTATCTCTATGGTATCTCTATGGTCTCTATGTGTCTCTATGGTATCTCTATGGTATCTCTATGGTGTCTCTATGGTATCTCTATGGTGTCTCTATGGTCTCTCTATGGTGTCTCTATGGTGTCTCTATGGTATCTCTATGGTGTCTCTATGGTCTCTATGGTGTCTCTATGGTATCTCTATGGTATCTCTATGGTCTCTATGGTGTCTCTATGGTTCTCTATGGTGTCTCTATGGTGTCTCTATGGTCTCTATGGTGTCTCTATGGTGTCTCTATGGTATCTCATGGTGTCTACTCTATGGTGTCTCTATGGTATCTCTATGGTCTCTATGCTGTCTCTATGGTATCTCTATGGTGTCTCTATGGTCTCTATGGTGTCTCTATGGTCTCTCTATGGTCTCTATGGTCTCTATGGTGTCTCTATGGTGTCTCTATGGTATCTCTATGGTGTCTCTATGGTATCTCTATGGTATCTCTATGGTCTCTATGTGTCTCTATGGTCTCTATGGTCTCTATGGTCTCTATGTGTCTCTATGGGTCTCTATGGGTCTCTATGGGGTCTCTATGGTCTCTACGGATCTCTATGGTCTCTCTGATGTCTGTGTGTCTCTATGGTATCTCAATGGTCTCTATGGTCTCTATGGTCTCTATGGTATCTCTATGGTCTCTATGGTCTCTATGTGTCTCTATGGTATCTCTATGGTACCCCCATGCTGTCTCTATGGTATCCCCCCATCACCCCCGGTCCCCCCTATCCGTTACCTCTCCCTTCCCTCCCCGCAGGGAACGTTCCGGAGGCGCTGCGGGAGCCGCTGCAGCGGGGCCGCCTGGTGCCGGCCGTGGCTCGGGCCCTGTCGGCCCCGGGGCTCTACTGCAGGGCCTGGGCCTGGGCCTTGCGGGCGCGGCCGCCCCCGGACACGGCGGCGCTGCTGGAGCTGCTGCGGCAGCGCGGGGACGGGCCCGTGCTGAGAGAGCGCCCCCTGCAGGCGGCGGACCTCAGGCCGCCCCTCGACATCGTGAGTGAGGCCGGGGGGGAATGGGGTAATGGGGGGTAATGGGGGCAATGGGGGTAATGGGGGAATGGGGGAATGGGGGCAATGGGGAGAATGGGGGGCAATGGAAATGTGGCAATGGGGACAATGGGGCGCAATGGGGAGAATGGTGGCAATGGGGGACAATGGAAATGGGGCAATGGGGGTAATGGAGGCATTGGGGGTAATGGGGGTCAGTGGGAGAATGGGGGAATGGGAGACAATACGGTAATGGGGGCAATGGGGGCATTGAGGTTAATGGGCATAATGGGAGCAATGGGGTAATGGGTGCAATGGGTGCAGTGGGGGTCAATGGGTACAATGGGTGCACTGGGGGTCAATGGGTGCACTGGGGTCAATGGGTGCCCTGGGTACAATGGGGGTCAATGGGTGCACTGGGGTCAATGGGTGCACTGGGGTCACTGGGTGCACTGGGGGTCAATGGGTACAGTGGGTGCACTTGGGTGCACTGGGGTCACTGGGAGTCAATGGGTACAATGGATGCACTGGGTGCACTGGGTACAATGGGTGCATTGGGTGCACTGGGGTCAATGGGTGCACTGGGGGTCAATGGGTACAATGGGTGCACTGGGTACAATGGAGTCAATGGGTGCCCTGGGTACAGTGGGGGTCACTGGGTGCACTGGGTACAATGGGTGCCCTGGGTACAATGGGTGCACTGGGTACACTGGGGTCAATGGGTACCCTGGGTACAATGTGTGTCAATGGGTACAATGGGGGTCAATGGGTACAATGGGGGTCAATGGGGGTCAATGGGTGCACTGGGGTCAATGGGTGCCCTGGGTGCCCTGGTCCCACGTGATCTCCCACTGCCCCCCTCCCCCCAGGACGCCCACCTCACCCTCATCGACTCCCTCATGGGTGCCTTCGTGGCCGAGGCCACGCGGGGCTTGGGGTGCCCCCCGGGAGCCCCCCCCGGGCCCGAGGGCTGGGAGCAGAAGATCCTGTGCTGGTTGGATACGGTATGGGGGGGGCTATGGGGGGGTGGGGGGGATGGGGGGCTATGGGGGGTATGGGAATGTATGGGGGTCGGGGTATGGGGGTGTGGGGGGGTTGGGGTTATGGGGGATGGGGGGGGATGGGGGTATGGAGGGGCTATGGGGGTTCATGGAGGGGCATTGGGGGGGTATGGAGGGGCATTGGGGGGGTATGGGGGGCTATGGGGGGCTATGGGGGGGATGGATTGGGGGTTTGGGGGGCTATGGAGGGGCATTGGGGGGGTTATGGAGGGGCTATGGGGGGTCTGGGGGCCTATGGGGGGCTATGGGGGGGTATGGAGGGGCTATGGGGGTCTGGGGCTATGGGGGGCATGGGGGGGTATGGGGGTATGGGGCTATGGGGGGGCTATGGGGGGGTCTGGGGGCTATGGGGGGCTATGGGGGGCTATGGAGGAGCTTTGGGGGGCTATAGGGGGTTTAGGGGGCTATGGGGGGGCTATGGGGGGGTATGGAGGGGCTATGGGGGGGTTATGGGGGGTTTGGGGGGCTATGGAGGGACATTGGGGGGGTTATGGAGGGGCTATGGGGGAGTCTGGGGGCCTATGGGAGGGCTATGGGGGGTATGGGGGTATGGGGGGTCTATGGAGGGGTATGGGGGTCTATGGGTGGGCTATGGGGGGATATGGAGGGGCTATGGGGGGGCTATGGGGGGGTCTGGGGGGCTATGGGAGGCTATGGGGGGCTGTGGAGGAGCTATGGGGGGCTATAGGGGGTTTAGGGGGGCTATGGGGGGGCTAT